GTTGTATGCGGATGATTTCCACCTTCCCATATTCTTAATGATGTGAGTTGGTACATAGTTACCTGATGCAGCTGAAGCTACTCCAATGCAGAAGGAATGACCCAAGAAGGCGTGTGGGTTGTGTCCTAGCCGGAGTAATAATGTACGAATATAAAATATAAATTGTTTAGTGGGTAGGGGTTTCCCTTGGATGGCTAATAGTGGACAATATGGGTTGGAAGTGATCTGGGACACCATTAGTTTGTCTAAAACTAGGATAGGACACCATTTGGTCGAGGTGGGATAGTATTTAATTTCTACCGGAGGACCTGTTTGGCTTGTTTTGGTATGGGCAATATATAAGATGTAGTGGTCTTGTTTTTTAATTAGGAGTTTCTTCTGGAGGCATGACTTGGAATTGGATGCTTTCTCCACTGAAAACTCTTTGGGTCTCGAGAAACCATAAAAGGCTGAGTAAGCCACGGTCTTGACAATTAGGTTTGTGGTATGTTCAAAAGAGGATGTGTCGAGTATATCGGAGATACTTTTAAAGAGCTTACTGTCTATGGGAAGTCTCTTGATGGGATTGTGTAATGATAATCTGTGAACACCTCTTAGGATACTTTTTACTGGGTAGGATGTTAGAAATGGAGTTTTGTTGGGATAGCTGGTCAACATGTGGTGTTGTATACCCATTAAGTAGAGTTTGATAGTGTTGTATGCTAACTTAAGAGAGATGTGGCAAAAAGTAGTGAACGCTACAACAGTTTCAACAGAAAAAACATTTATTATATGATAATTATGAACAAAATTTTGGAACAACTTGTATGCTCTGGAGTAGGCTTTCCTTGTATTAGGAGACAAGCCTGCCTGTGCAAGAGACCTACTATGTTGTAATAGAGAACTTAAAGCATAATTAGTTCCGAGAAGCTTGGAGGTTTTCTGGGATGTGGGTTTGCTGATGGATGAAGCCTGAAAAATTCCTGCAAATTCAAGCGTGAGGGAGCATCAGCCGCGTTATTTTGAACACCTTGAACGTGAATACAGGTTATGCAGAATTGAAGATTAGCTGCTAGCCAGGTCAGTCTCCTTATTAATTTCATAATCGTGAGGGACTGAGATCGGCCTTTGTTCACTATATTACAGGTAGCTAAGTTATCCGAAAAACATCTGACAGAATGTCCATGCCATACTTTACCCCAGACATGTGCAGACGCTACTATAGGATAAATTTCAAATAGCGCTGAGGTGGTACCTGTTTCCTGGTGCAAGTGCCTTGTGAGGTGCAGATGTTTATGTAAGAAAGAATCCGGTCTATTTTCTCTTGAGGCAGGCTGGCCTGCATAGAGACAGAAATGAGTGTAATTCCCAGGAAAGTAATCACTATGTTGGGACCTTCTGTTTTGTCCTGGGCTACAGGGACTCCTAAGTCTTTGAATAGAGTGAGCATGTGATTAAGACTGTGGGGCGTGTGTTGGTGTGGTTCAATGGTGAGGAAGTCGTCTAAGTAATGTTTGACTACTGGACATCTGCAAAAGTTCAGTAGTAGCCAGGTTAAAGTGTCAGGTGAATATGTCGAATAACTTGGGGCTACTTTTGGATCCGAAGGTCAGTCTGGTAGCAAAATAGTAGCAGTCCTGCCACTTAACTCCATGCAGATGTCAGAGTGACCGATGGTTGGGGAGTATTTTAAAGGCGTTAGTGATGTCAGATTTACTTAACCAAGCTACCTCCCCGGAATGAATGATTGCTTGGATGGCATCGTCAGTTCTGGCGTATTGAAGGGAAAAGTCTTCTGACGGGATCAGAGCATTAAGGCTAGGTGTAGGGGATGAGTGAGGTGCAGAAAAGTCAATAATCAGTCTCTTTTTATTGTTATATTTCCCTGTGGCGATTCCTAGAGGGTTTGTCCTCCAGGAAGTGAAAGGAGGAGTAGAGAAACCATTGGTGACTTCTTTCTGTAAGAGTTCTTGTATGCTGTCTGGGTCTGTGAGTGCTGACTGTAAGTTGGGGCATTCCAAAACACCCGTGGGGAATGACACGAACCCTGTGTGAAACCCATTAGTTAACCCAGCCGTGAGAAATTCCACCAAATGAAAAGAAGGATGATTAGTCAGGTAACGTTGCAACTTAAGTACATTTATTGGAGTGGAAGTTTTGTTAGGGTACAATCTGTTGGGGCACATAGTTTTGGCATGTGCTCTGAAACACAGTGAGCACACATGAAGAAGCCTACATGCGCTATAACTGCAACCCCCAGCATTTAAATTATTGCAGACTTGTACTTTGCCTAGAAAAATAATTGTCCTGCCTAGTTTGTCTCTTACTTCCCTTTGGGACGTGTTAGATTGGTAACCAGTATTAGCGCTACTGGTTGAAGGGGTCGCTACGTTCTCTGGACAGAAATTGACTGAATGAGCAGTGGAAGAGCATATAGCACAGGAAGGGGTTTTAAGGCCTGCAAAATGCATAAGAAATAATTCCGTGTCTAGCTGTGCCCAATCAGTAATTGTATTGTACTGTGACAGCGATGCAACGGATCTGGAAGCAAATGACTTATGATAATCATAAAATGCATAGCCCCCGTACTTGTATGCTAACTCAACCACTTTATGTAGGTATAAGTCAAGTTCCTCTCTACGGAGGGGGAAAGTTGTACAGATCACGTCTCTGTATAGACCGAAAGCAAGGACAAACTCCGGGATGTTAAGCTTCCTATTTAGTCTAGGATCTCTAGACTTCATCACTACTGACAGATACTCAAAGGTATAAGCCCTGTTCTCTACCACATCTTGAGATGCTATCAGTAGTGATGCCAAGTTGATGTCCTTCCCCTCTATAATGTCCCGACTTAGAGACCGAGGAATGAGGTGAATAGGATTTATGATATTTGTAGCTCTGTTAGCTGGTAGAGGTTTATCTTTACCTCCTGAGTTAGGTGCGGGCTGAGCAACGGGCACTTGAATCTCTGGAATTGTTGGAACATTATTTGACTCCAGATTATCCAACCTATTGTTAATCGTTGCTACTGAAGAAACAAGGGAGGCCATCATGACGTGTAATTCGGCAAGGCTATTTTGTACATTGAATTCCGTACTAGGGCCAGGCCTTTCGTTGTCTTCAGTAATATTTAGTAAACAAAACAGTTCGGCTTTCCTGGCTGTAGCTGGGAAAGGAATATTCCTTTTTTTATGTTCTGAGGTTATTTTAGGGATAGTCCAGGAACGATAGCTGGAAGCTGGACTTGGTGGATTGGTTCGTCTCTGTGAACCTGATCTGAGTGGGGTGCTGGCGACCGACAGATCATTTTCTTGTGTAGAAGCGTTAGACATGCTATGAAAGTGAGGCAGATGGATAAGGTTAGTATGGTACTGTAAAGAACCGTAGTGGCCCAGCTCACTATAATAGTGCCTAAGGGCAAAATTGTATTGACTAGCGTATGTTGGTGACAGGTGAAGCCCTGACTACTTGCCAAGTGGCTATGAGAGGCTCTACCTATGATTTGGCTCATGGGGCCTTTGAGCCACTGAGGAGGGTAGCGGGGTGTTGGCCTCTCGGTGATACGTAAAGGAATGTGAGACCCTAACTATGACTTGATGCACGGCTATAACTATGTATTGGGACGATTGGGCACAAACCTCTGAGCGGCAGGTCTAAGAGTATGCCTTGCGGGACCACTCGACTTATAGGCGAAGAGGCTTGTGGGATCATACCTAATTTGGCGAGCTCAAACCTATTTGTAATCCTGCCTGGGTTTAAACAGTTAACATACCTGATGACTGCTTGTGTGACGTGTATGGTAGCAGACAGAATAATCCTTGCTTGGACCTAAAACATGTCATAGATTTAGGTTATAACCTAACCTCCTGGTGAACCATAGAAAATTGTCCTGCCAAGCAATGGGTTGGATACTAACCGTATACGTAGAAAATGATAAGAAGATTTGACAGGGTGATCGTCCGTTTGCTTATGACCAATAAGGCCTGTTTGCAAACCGTGTTGGTGATAGGATTATCTTAACAGAGGGGAGAAAACAATATATCACATATGTAAGTGTCATCTCCGTAATACTGAAACAGCCTAGCTAGCACAATCAAATGCACAAGACCGGGCATTAATAAATTGTACAATAAACCAAGGAAAGTACACGATAAGTTATAGGGAGAAATATTGTAGTAATACCCTATATCTGACCTAATGGAGAATGACTTCCCCAGTGTTGTATGACCGGAATTAACCACTGCTGTTATGACAGCGATTTACCAGGAGTTAAACCAACAACCAAAATACCCCCAAATGAGGGTACAGAGCAAAGAAACATATATATGCAAATATAAAAGAATGTATTGCCTAAAAGAAAATTACTGACCGATAACTGTAAAACCACAAGGTGGTGACATAAGCCAGACTTGGCATATAGAACTGAGGTAATCCTCATGCAGGTAATTAGGCGTATTATTACAGAAATCGACCATTTAATAAGGTAGCCAGAGGTAACTACCAACGAATTGTGAAAAGATTCCAAATGAGTGCTGTTGTATTAAGACCGGTGTAAGTAAAATGTTGACCGAACGTTAAAACAACAGCAGGATTTCACGATCCGAAAATAACCACATATCAAAAGTTACTTTACATCTAAACTTATATACAGAGTACCACCTAATTATTAATTACTGTGGCCATGCTGAATACCATGGACTTGCATTCCCATGATGCTGAGTCATGGCTGAGCATCATGAGATACGTATGACAATTTTTAAAAAAAATGTTATATACAATAAGTTTACATAGTACCAGATTGATTTAAAACATATAACTGTTTTTTAAGTAAAATACATTTATCTATTAGTATAACATCATTCCTGCTTTAATTAGTGATCACAAAATGCATACTAGAAAGGACAGATAAAATGAAAATATATACTCCCTAGTATATGGAAAATGCTAATAGATGCCCTATTCCAGCCTATTTCCTTCTGGAAGTCTGCTTGAAACCGTTAGATATAACATGTACAGTGTACCTGAACTGCCAGCAACCAAGATGGCGGCGGCGAGTTACGTCATAGATTGTGCCAATGGCGTGGTGATAGATTGTGCACAGTGTTGTGCACGCATTTCTAAGTTGGCAGGAAGGACAAGCGTGCGTCCGAGAGAGAGAGCTGGTAATTGGACCGGGCACCGAGCGGTATGGATCCCCCTTTATATAATATATATTTATGTCACCCCCTGTATTTGGTACAGTATTTGCGTATGGGCCGAGCACTCTGTGCGAGGGAGAGTACGTTAGCCGCCCGTTGCTGGGGACCCCGAAGAGACGGAGGGTGCTACTTGGTTTAAGGTTTTCTAAGTTACACTCACGGTTCTTACTCCTCCTGGATACCTCCCCTTGATGGCAGCCGGACCTAGCCGCGAACACCTTCCCTGGCTCAAGCTTGCGACCCCAAACGCTGCCAGAGGGCGGAAATGACATCGGGACACGTGAACCGAAAGTATACGCTGCACTTCCGGAAATGTCGCTGACAGGTGAGTAGGGGCTCACTGGGTTTAAGTAGGGAAAAATTGTACCTCCCACAATTACAGGCCAAGCCTTCTATATATATATATATATATATATATATATATATTAAGAACTTGTATGCCCTGCACTCCAGCTCCCCAGTCTTGTCAGTACATCGGTGCAAAACTTCATCCACAGATATAAAGATGAGTGCACGTTTAGGATTTACAATTCAAATTGATGCTTTTATTGATACAAATTCATTAAAACACTGGTCAATGTTTTAGTCCTGCATGGACTTTTTTCAAGAATTGAAGACTTTCAAGTCTTGTAAATAGTCAAGGCAGGGCTAAAATGTTGACCATTGTTTTCATGGACTGCTATTATTAATTACATCAATTAAAATTCTAAATCTTACGAGTGCGCTCATCTACACTTATAAATATATTAATATAGATGTGGATATGTACTGCTCTTCTTAATTGTATTCCTTATGGAGATTGTGAATATCTGGCATGGTGCTCTTCTGTTTTAGCTTTGTTTCTCGTTACTGGATTACCATGTGCAGCATTCCCAGACTGAAATATAAAAATTTACTTCACAGGCCATTAATATATCCCAACAATAAAATGCAATACTGTTGATAAATCATCTGTTTTCTAAACAAACCCATTTCAGCACCTTTTCCAAAGTTAACTACCCTGATGTCTTGGCAAGATATTTTCCAGGAAGGGATCCCGAGGCATCATGGTATTCCTGATCACATCTTTTGGAGACTTTATATTACATTTTTATAGCACTTTCTGTAAACAAAATGTAATTGAAGTACAATACTCCTCAATTTACTACTCCCAGTCATATTAACAAATAAAGAATATAAAGCATAGTTCGAAACAATATTTTTTATAATTTTAGCAACAGAATAAATGGACTACATTGCTTCTCTAGTTGAATTCATGTTTAATAACTCCTTTGATTATTCCCTTGAAACCATGCTCTTCAATGTCAATCTTGGAGACCATGATTGTTTAACATTCTCTAACTCCATGGCTCCCATTATGAAAGGAAAAATATGCATTATAATAAACCATATACAGATATATGGGCACTTTATTATATGAACCCACAAAGATGACTTGTTTTGTTTCATGCGTCACAGACTAGAAAATTGTATAATAAAAACACAGACCAAATTGTATAATAAAAGCCAAAGTGCTTGGCTAGTTGATCATACAGTAAGAGTGGAGGAAAGGAAAAGGATGGGAAAATTGCAGCTCTTAATATAAAGTAGTAATTTGCCATAGTACTATGTTTAATAGGTGTGTGTCAAGTATTCTCTGAAAAAGTAAGATCGTGTTTGGAAAATCCAGGCTGTAAGAAACCCAGACAAAATAAGCAACAACTAAAAGTAGAAAATCAAGGCTAGTCAGAGATTTAAATATGGATTAAATATGGGAAAGTATAAAAGATGGTTCAGCATGTCACAACTATAAGAATGGCAATTCAAAGCTATGTTTCAACTTCCCTTTTGGTCTATTTCAAGCAAATTTACATGACCTTGACAAAGACCACACTGGTGACCTTGCTTATTTAAAATTGGAACCACCATCTTTCATAATTCAGGATCTATAAACAGGACCCAGAATGCTGAATTGGCTTGTCTTTGTCTGTACATAATGCTGTGTAATGTATTTGAATTACTTTGTATAGCACTGTTTATATATTATCTTTACTATAAGCACTCCATGTAGTTTAGCCTTTTACGTTTCACTGGCCCTTGACTTCTTCTATTTTCATGTGATTTCTCTTTTTATCCTTACCTTTATGTAATGTGCTCATCACCCCTTCTTCTGTTTTATAGAGGTGGCACACTTGCTGATCAATTACTCAAGGATATCTGATTAGCAGCACCCTTTTGCTACTTAGCTTCTTAATTCCTATGGAAGCATGGCTTCTCCATTTTTACTTTATTTTTGTTAAATAAATAATGAAATGGTGTCATATGTCATGTGTTGTTCATCTGAGGTTGTATTTACCTAAGTTTAAGACCTGCTAAGGAAAAATAAATATATACTATATATACTGTGAAACAGCAACCACACGGGATACTGATTTCCAGCCAAAATAACAAAGTTCTCTAGTGTATAAATAGCCACACACTTAAAATTGCAGAAAGGAGCAGTTTTATTCAATAAATAAACAAATGCCACATTCACAGTTGATTAAAAAAATACTACAAACAAAAGCCTATCTCTTTTAGAGTACTAACTAAACATTCAGTGATCCTAACTATCCCAGAAAGAATACACTAATAAACAAAATACCTGTTTTCTCTGATACGTCTCACTGTTCACAGCTGCCCTTCTCTCAGTAGTTCAAAGAAAACACACTTTTTCTAGGAGTCAGCAACCTGAGAATTTTACCTGCTGATAATTAATTAATTAGGGGGTAGTGATGTCGCGAACATAAAATTTTCGGTTCGTGAACGGCGAACACGAACTTCCACAAATGTTCGCGAACGGGCGAAACGGGCGAACCGCCATAGACTTCAATAGGCAGGCGGATTTTAAAACCCACAGGGACTCTTTCTGGCCACAATAGTGATGGAAAAGTTGTTTCAAGGGGACTAACACCTGGACTGTGGCATGCCGGAAGGGGATCCATGGCAAAACTCCCATGGAAAATTACATAGTTAATGCAGAGTCTGGTTTTAATCCATAAAGGGCATAAATCACCTAACATTCCTAAATTGTTTGGAATAACGTGCTTAAAAACATCAGGTATGATGTTGTATCGATCAAGTAGTGTAAGGGTTACGCCCGCTTCACAGTGACAGACTAAACTCCCCGTTTAACGCACCGCAAACAACCGCAAACAGTCCATTTGCACAACCGCAAACTCCCCATTTGCACAAGGTTGGATACCAAGCTAGCCATGTCCCGTTCCTTGTCCTCACTGATGTCATTGAAGGTCTCTTCCTCCACCCAGCCACGTACAACACCAAGGGTCCCCAAAAGGTGACAACAAGCCCCCTGGGACGCCTGCTGTGTTTGGTCTTCCACCTCCTCAAAGCCACCTTCCTCCTCTGACTCCTCTTCTTCAGACTCCTCTCTCTGCATTGCCTCTCTCTGCATTATTATAAGGTGTGTTAAGTAGTACTATTCCTATCAGTTTAATCCCTGTTACGTCCCCTATCAGGGGATGTGTATATGGCATCGATTTTAGGAACCGGGAGATGGAAAAAGATGCTTGGTCGGTCCTCCTACTTCAAATTTGGGGCACTGCGCGTGCAATCTAATGTGCCACCAGATAGGAGTGGTGTGTTAAGTAGTACTAGTCTTATCAGTTTAATCCCTGTTACGTCCCCTATCAGGGGACGTGTATATGGCATCGATTTTAGGAACCGGGAGATGGAAAAAGATGCTTGGTCGGTCCTCCTTCTTCAAATTTGGGGCACTGCGCGTGCAATCTAATGTGCCACCAGATAGGAGTGGTGTGTTAAGTAGTACTATTCTTATCAGTTTAATCCCTGTTACGTCCCCTATCAGGGGACATGTATATGGCATCGATTTTAGGAACCGGGAGATGGAAAAAGATGCTTGGTCGGTCCTCCTTCTTCAAATTTGGGGCACTGCGCGTGCAATCTAATGTGCCACCAGATAGGAGTGGTGTGTTAAGTAGCACTATTCTTATCAGTTTAATCCCAATGTCACGACTACTAGTGTGGCCCAGCCCACAGAAACTATGTAAACATATACATAGGCAAGAAAAGGAAAATAAAAAGGACAGAAATAAAAGGACAGAGCGTGGTGGTGATGCTGAGGGTGGTGGGGTATGAGGCTGAGGGTGGTGGGGGGGAGGCTGAGG